CAGAGGAAGCACAAGCAGAGAAAGCGCAAGCAGAGGAAGCACAAGCAGAGGAAGCGCAAGCAGAGGAAGCGCAAGCAGAGGAAGCACAAGCACAGGAAGCACAAGCAGAGGAAGCGCAAGCAGAGGAAGCGCAAGCAAAGGAAGCGCAAGCAGAGGAAGCGCAAGGAGAGGAAGCGCAAGCAGAGGAAGCGCAAGCAGAGGAAGCACAAGCAGAGGAAGCACAAGCAGAGGAGCGCAAGCAGAGGAAGCGTAAGCAAAGGAAGAGCAAGCAGAGGAAGCACAAGCAGAGGAAGCGGAAGCAGAGGAAGCGCAAGAAGAGGAAGCGCAAGCAGAGGAAGCGCAAGCAGAGGAAGCGCAAGTAGAGGAAGCACAAGCAGAGGAGCGCAAGCAGAGGAAGCGCAAGCAGAGGAAGCACAAGCAGAGGAAGCACAAGCAGAGGAGCGAAAGCAGAGGAAGCGCAAGCAGAGGAAGCACAAGCAGAGGAAGCGCAAGGAGAGGAAGCACAAGCAGAGGAAGCGCAAGCAGAGGAAGCACAAGCAGAGGAAGCACAAGCAGAGGAAGCGTAAGGAGAGCAAGCGCAAGCAGAGGAAGCACAAGCACAGGAAGCGCAAGAAGAGGAAGCACAAGCAGAGGAAGCAACAGCAGAGGAAGCGCAAGCAGAGGAAGCACAAGCAGAGGAAGCGCAAGTAGAAGAAGCACAAGCATAGGAAGCAGAAGCAAAGAAGCGCAAGCAGAGGAAGCACAAGCAGAGGAAGCACAAGCAGAGGAAGCGCAAGCAGAGGAAGCACAAGTAGAGGAAGCGAAAGCAGAGGAAGCACAAGCAGAGGAAGTGCAAGCAGAGGAAGCACAAGCAGAGGAAGCACAAGTAGAGGAGCGCAAGCAGAGGAAGCGCAAGCACAGGAAGCGCAAGCAGAGGAAGCACAAGCAGAGGAAGTGCAAGCAGAGGAAGCGCAAGCTGAGGAGTCACAACCACAGGAAGCGCAAGCAGAGGAAGCGCAAGCAGAGGAAGAACAAGCAGAGGAAGCACAAGCAGAGGAAGCACAAGCAGAGGAAGCGCAAGCAGAGGAAGCACAAGCAGAGGAAGCGCAAGAAGAGGAAGCACAAGCAGAGGAAGCACAAGCAGAGGAAGCACAAGCAGAGGAAACGCAAGCAGAGGAAGCACAAGAAGAGGAAGCGCAAGCAGAGGAAGCATAAGCAGAGGAAGAACAAGCAAAGGAAGCGCAAGCAGAGGAAGCACAAGCAGAGGAAGCGCAAGAAGAGGAAGCACAAGCAGAGGAAGCACAAGCAGAGGAAGCACAAGCAGAGGAGCGCAAGCAGAGGAAGCGCAAGCAGAGGAAGCACAAGCAGAGGAAGCGCAAGCAGAGGAAGCAAAGCAGAGGAAGCGCAAGCAGAGGAAGCACAAGCAGAGGAAGCACAAGCAGAGGAGCGCAAGCAGAGGAAGCACAAGCAAAGGAAGCGCAAGCAGAGGAAGCGCAAGCAGAGGAAGCGCAAGAAGCGGAAGCACAAGCAGAGAAGCAACAGCAGAGGAAGCGCAAGCAGAGGAAGCGCAAGAAGAGGAAGCACAAGCAGAGGAAGCACAAGAAGAGGAAGCACAAGTAGAGGAAGCACAAGCAGAGGAAGCACAAGCAGAGGAAGCACAAGCATAGGAAGCACAAGCAGAGGAAGCGAAAGCAGAGGAAGCGCAAGCAGAGGAAGCACAAGCAGAGGAAGCGGAAGCAGAGGAAGCACAAGCAAAGGAAGCGCAAGCAGAAGAAGCACAAGCAGAGGAAGCGCAAGTAGAGGAAGCACAAGCAGAGGAAGCCCAAGCAGAGGAGCCCAAGCAGAGGAAGCGCAAGCAGAGGAAGCGCAAGCAGAGGAAGCGCAAGCAGAGGAAGCGCAAGCAGAGGAAGCGCAAGCAGAGGAAGCGCAAGCAGAGGAAGCACAAGTAGAGGAAGCGCAAGCAGAGGAAGCACAAGCAGAGGAAGCATAAGCAGAGGAAGCACAAGCAGAGGAAGCGCAAGCAGAGGAAGCGCAAGCAGAGGAAGTGCAAGAAGAGGAAGCACAAGCAGAGGAAGCGCAAGCAGAGGAAGCGCAAGCAGAGGAAGCGCAAGCAGAGGAAGCGCAAGCAGAGGAAGCGCAAGCAGAGGAAGCACAAGCAGAGGAAGCACAAGCAGAGGAAGCGCAAGCAGAGGAAGCGCAAGCAAAGGAAGCGCAAGCAGAGGAAGCGCAAGCAGAGGAAGCGCAAGCAGAGGAAGCGCAAGCAGAGGAAGCACAAGCAGAGGAAGCACAAGCAGAGGAGCGCAAGCAGAGAAAGCGTAAGCAAAGGAAGAGCAAGCAGAAGAAGCACAAGCAGAGGAAGCGTAAGCAGAGGAAGCGCAAGAAGAGGAAGCGCAAGCAGAGGAAGCGCAAGCAGAGGAAGCGCAAGTAGAGGAAGCACAAGCAGAGGAAGCGCAAGCAGAGGAAGCACAAGCAAGAAGCACAAGCAGAGGAAGCACAAGCAGAGGAGCGAAAGCAGAGGAAGCGCAAGCAGAGGAAGCACAAGCAGAGGAAGCGCAAGGAGAGGAAGCACAAGCAGAGGAAGCGCAAGCAGAGGAAGCACAAGCAGAGGAAGTACAAGCAGAGGAGCTCAAGCAAAGGAAGCGTAAGGAGAGCAAGCGCAAGCAGAGGAAGCACAAGCAGAGGAAGCGCAAGAAGAGGAAGCACAAGCAGAGGAAGCAACAGCAGAGGAAGCGCAAGCAGAGGAAGCACAAGCAGAGGAAGCGCAAGTAGAAGAAGCACAAGCAGAGGAAGCAGAAGCAAAGAAGCGCAAGCAGAGGAAGCACAAGCAGAGGAAGCACAAGCAGAGGAAGCGCAAGCAGAGGAAGCACAAGCAGAGGAAGCGGAAGCAGAGGAAGCACAAGCAGAGGAAGCGCAAGCAGAGGAAGCACAAGCAGAGGAAGCACAAGTAGAGGAGCGCAAGCAGAGGAAGCGCAAGCAGAGGAAGCGCAAGCAGAGGAAGCACAAGCAGAGGAAGCGCAAGCAGAGGAAGCGCAAGCAGAGGAGCACAAGCAGAGGAAGCGCAAGCAGAGGAAGCGCAAGCAGAGGAAGAACAAGCAGAGGAAGCACAAGCAGAGGAAGCACAAGCAGAGGAAGCGCAAGCAGAGGAAGCACAAGCAGAGGAAGCGCAAGAAGAGGAAGCACAAGCAGAGGAAGCACAAGCAGAGGAAGCACAAGCAGAGGAGCGCAAGCAGAGGAAGCGCAAGCAGAGGAAGCACAAGAAGAGGAAGCGCAAGCAGAGGAAGCATAAGCAGAGGAAGAACAAGCAAAGGAAGCGCAAGCAGAGGAAGCACAAGCAGAGGAAGCGCAAGAAGAGGAAGCACAAGCAGAGGAAGCACAAGCAGAGGAAGCACAAGCAGAGGAGCGCAAGCAGAGGAAGCGCAAGCAGAGGAAGCACAAGCAGAGGAAGCGCAAGCAGAGGAAGCAAAGCAGAGGAAGCGCAAGCAGAGGAAGCACAAGCAGAGGAAGCACAAGCAGAGGAGCGCAAGCAGAGGAAGCACAAGCAGAGGAAGCGCAAGAAGAGGAAGCGCAAGCAGAGGAAGCGCAAGAAGCGGAAGCACAAGCAGAGGAAGCACAGCAGAGGAAGCGCAAGCAGAGGAAGCACAAGCAAAGGAAGCACAAGCAGAGGAAGCGCAAGCAGAGGAAGCACAAGCAGAGGAAGCGGAAGCAGAGGAAGCACAAGCAGAGGAAGCGCAAGCAGAGGAAGCACAAGCAGAGGAAGCACAAGCAGAGGAGCGCAAGCAGAGGAAGCGCAAGCAGAGGAAGCGCAAGAAGAGGAAGCACAAGCAGAGGAAGCGCAAGCAGAGGAAGCGGAAGCAGAGGAGCACAAGCAGAGGAAGCGCAAGCAGAGGAAGCGCAAGCAGAGGAAGCACAAGCAGAGGAAGCACAAGCAGAGGAAGCACAAGCAGAGGAAGCGCAAGCAGAGGAAGCGCAAGCAGAGGAAGCGCAAGCAAAGGAAGCACAAGCAGAGGAAGCGCAAGCAGAGGAAGCACAAGCAGAGGAAGCGCAAGAAGAGGAAGCACAAGCAGAGGAAGCACAAGCAGAGGAAGCACAAGCAGAGGAGCGCAAGCAGAGGAAGCGCAAGCAAAGGAAGCACAAGAAGAGGAAGCGCAAGAGAGGAAGCACAAGCAGAGGAAGCGCAAGCAGAGGAAGCATGAGCAGAGGAAGCACAAGAAGAGGAGCGCAAGCAAAGGAAGTGCAAGCAGAGGAAACGCAAAAAGAGGAAGCACAAGCAGAGGAAGCGCAAGTAGAGGAAGCACAAGCAGAAGAAGCGCAAGCAGAGGAAGCGCAAGCAGAGGAAGCAAGAAGAGGAAGCACAAGCTAGGAAGCACAAGCAGAAGAAGCGCAAGCAGAGGAAGCACAAGAAGAGGAAGCCCACTTCGAGGAAGCACAAGCAGAGGAAGCGCAAGCAGAGGAAGCACAAGCAGAGGAAGCGCAAGCAGAGGAAGCACAAGCAGAGGAAGCGCAAGCAGAGGAAGCACAAGCAGAGGAAGCACAAGCAGAGGAAGCACAAGCAGAGGAAGCGCAAGCAAAGGAAGCACAAGCAGAGGAAGCGCAAGCAGAGGAAGCGCAAGCAGAGGAAGCACAAGTAGAGGAAGCGCAAGCAGAGGAAGCGCAAGCAGAGGAAGCACAAGCAGAGGAAGCGCAAGCAAAGGAAATGCAAGCAGAGGAAGCGCAAGCAGAGGAAGCACACACAGAGGAAGCGCAAGCAGAGGAAGCACAAGCAGAGGAAGCGCAAGCAGAGGAAGCACAAGCAAAGGAAGCACAAGCAGAGGAGCGCAAGCAGAGGAAGCACAAGCAGAGGAAGCGCAAGCAGAGGAAGCGCAAGCAGAGGAAGCACAAGAAGAGGAAGCAACAGCAGAGGAAGCGCAAGCAGAGGAAGCACAAGCAGAGGAAGCGCAAGTAGAGGAAGCACAAGCATAGGAAACACAAGCAAAGAAGCGCAAGCAGAGGAAGCACAAGCAGAGGAAGCGCAAGCAAAGGAAATGCAAGCAGAGGAAGCGCAAGCAGAGGAAGCACAAGCAGAGGAAGCGCAAGCAGAGGAAGCACAAGCAGAGGAAGCGCAAGCAGAGGAAGCACAAGCAGAGGAAGCACAAGCAGAGGAGCGCAAGCAGAGGAAGCACAAGCAGAGGAAGCGCAAGCAGAGGAAGCGCAAGCAGAGGAAGCGCAAGCAGAGGAAGCAACAGCAGAGGAAGCGCAAGCAGAGGAAGCACAAGCAGAGGAAGCGCAAGTAGAGGAAGCACAAGCATAGGAAGCACAAGCAAAGAAGCGCAAGCAGAGGAAGCACAAGCAGAGGAAGCACAAGCAGAGGAAGCGCAAGCAGAGGAAGCACAAGTAGAGGAAGCGGAAGCAGAGGAAGCACAAGCAGAGGAAGCGCAAGCAGAGGAAGCACAAGCAGAGGAAGCACAAGCAGAGGAGCGCAAGCAGAGGAAGCGCAAGCAGAGGAAGCGCAAGAAGAGGAAGCACAAGAAGAGGAAGCGCAAGCAGAGGAAGCGCAAGCAGAGGAGCACAAGCAGAGGAAGCGCAAGCAGAGGAAGCGCAAGCAGAGGAAGCACAAGCAGAGGAAGCACAAGCAGAGGAAGCACAAGCAGAGGAAGCGCAAGCAGAGGAAGCGCAAGCAGAGGAAGCGCAAGCAGAGGAAGCACAAGCAGAGGAAGCGCAAGCAGAGGAAGCACAAGCAGAGGAAGCGCAAGAAGAGGAAGCACAAGCAGAGGAAGCACAAGCAGAGGAAGCACAAGCAGAGGAGCGCAAGCAGAGGAAGCGCAAGCAAAGGAAGCGCAAGCAGAGGAAGCGCAAGCAGAGGAAGCACAAGCAGAGGAAGCGCAAGCAGAGGAAGCACAAGCAGAGGAAGCGCAAGCAGAGGAAGCAAGCAGAGGAAGCACAAGCAGAGGAGCGCAAGCAGAGGAAGCGCAAGCAAAAGCAAAAAGAGGAAGCACAAGCAGAGGAAGCGCAAGTAGAGGAAGCACAAGCAGAAGAAGCGCAAGCAGAGGAAGCGCAAGCAGAGGAAGCACAAGCAGAGGAAGCACAAGCTAGGAAGCACAAGCAGAAGAAGCGCAAGCAGAGGAAGCACAAGAAGAGGAAGCCCAAGCGAGGAAGCACAAGCAGAGGAAGCACAAGCAGAGGAAGCGCAAGCAGAGGAAGCACAAGCAGAGGAAGCGCAAGCAGAGGAAGCACAAGCAGAGGAAGCACAAGCAGAGGAAGCACAAGCAGAGGAGCGCAAGCAGAGGAAGCGCAAGCAGAGGAAGCGCAAGCAGAGGAAGCGCAAGCAAAGGAAGCGCAAGCAGAGGAAGCGCAAGTAGAGGAAGCACAAGCAGAGGAAGCGCAAGTAGAGGAAGCACAAGCAGAGGAAGCGCAAGCAGAGGAAGCGCAAGCAGAGGAAGCGCAAGCAGAGGAAGCGCAAGCAGAGGAAGCGCAAGTAGAGGAAGCACAAGTAGAGGAAGCGCAAGCAGAGGAAGCACAAGCAGAGGAAGCGCAAGCAGAGGAAGCACAAGCAGAGGAAGCACAAGCAGAGGAGCGCAAGCAGAGGAAGCGCAAGCAGAGGAAGCGCAAGAAGAGGAAGCGCAAGCAGAGGAAGCACAAGCAGAGGAAGCACAAGCAGAGGAAGCACAAGCAGAGGAAGCACAAGCAGAGGAAGCCCAAGCAAGGAAGCGCAAGCAGAGGAGCGCAAGCAGAGGAAGCACAAGCAGAGGAAGCACAAGCAGAGGAAGCACAAGCAGAGGAAGCACAAGCAGAGGAAGCCAAAGCAAAGGAAGCGCAAGCAGAGGAGCGCAAGCAGAGGAAGCGCAAGAAGAGGAAGCACAAGCAGAGGAAGCACAAGCAGAGGAAGCACAAGTAGAGGAAGCACAAGCAGAGGAAGCACAAGCAGAGGAAGCAAAAGCAGAGGAAGCACAAGCAGAGGAAGCGAAAGCAGAGGAAGCGCAAGCAGAGGAAGCACAAGCAGAGGAAGCGGAAGCAGAGGAAGCACAAGCAGAGGAAGCGCAAGCAGAAGAAGCACAAGCAGAGGAAGCGCAAGTAGAGGAAGCACAAGCAGAGGAAGCCCAAGCAGAGGAGCCCAAGCAGAGGAAGCGCAAGCAGAGGAAGCGCAAGCAGAGGAAGCGCAAGCAGAGGAAGCGCAAGCAGAGGAAGCGCAAGCAGAGGAAGCGCAAGCAGAGGAAGCACAAGCAGAGGAAGCGCAAGCAGAGGAAGCACAAGCAGAGGAAGCACAAGCAGAGGAAGCACAAGCAGAGGAAGCGCAAGCAGAGGAAGTGCAAGCAGAGGAAGCGCAAGAAGAGGAAGCACAAGCAGAGGAAGCGCAAGCAGAGGAAGCACAAGCAGAGAAAGCGCAAGCAGAGGAAGCACAAGCAGAGGAAGCGCAAGCAGAGGAAGCGCAAGCAGAGGAAGCACAAGCAGAGGAAGCACAAGCAGAGGAAGCGCAAGCAGAGGAAGCGCAAGCAAAGGAAGCGCAAGCAGAGGAAGCGCAAGGAGAGGAAGCGCAAGCAGAGGAAGCGCAAGCAGAGGAAGCACAAGCAGAGGAAGCACAAGCAGAGGAGCGCAAGCAGAGAAAGCGTAAGCAAGGAAGAGCAAGCAGAGGAAGCACAAGCAGAGGAAGCGCAAGCAGAGGAAGCGCAAGAAGAGGAAGCGCAAGCAGAGGAAGCGCAAGCAGAGGAAGCGCAAGTAGAGGAAGCACAAGCAGAGGAAGCGCAAGCAGAGGAAGCACAAGCAAGAAGCACAAGCAGAGGAAGCACAAGCAGAGGAGCGAAAGCAGAGGAAGCGCAAGCAGAGGAAGCACAAGCAGAGGAAGCGCAAGGAGAGGAAGCACAAGCAGAGGAAGCGCAAGCAGAGGAAGCACAAGCAGAGGAAGTACAAGCTCAGGAGCTTAAGCAAAGGAAGCGTAAGGAGAGAAGCGCAAGCAGAGGAAGCACAAGCAGAGGAAGCGCAAGAAGAGGAAGCACAAGCAGAGGAAGCAACAGCAGAGGAAGCGCAAGCAGAGGAAGCACAAGCAGAGGAAGCGCAAGTAGAAGAAGCACAAGCAGAGGAAGCAGAAGCAAAGAAGCGCAAGCAGAGGAAGCACAAGCAGAGGAAGCACAAGCAGAGGAAGCGCAAGCAGAGGAAGCACAAGTAGAGGAAGCGGAAGCAGAGGAAGCACAAGCAGAGGAAGCGCAAGCAGAGGAAGCACAAGCAGAGGAAGCACAAGCAGAGGAGCGCAAGCAGAGGAAGCGCAAGCAGAGGAAGCGCAAGCAGAGGAAGCACAAGCAGAGGAAGCGCAAGCAGAGGAAGCGCAAGCAGAGGAGCACAAGCAGAGGAAGCGCAAGCAGAGGAAGCGCAAGCAGAGGAAGAACAAGCAGAGGAAGCACAAGCAGAGGAAGCACAAGCAGAGGAAGCGCAAGCAGAGGAAGCACAAGCAGAGGAAGCGCAAGAAGAGGAAGCACAAGCAGAGGAAGCACAAGCAGAGGAAGCACAAGCAGAGGAGCGCAAGCAGAGGAAACGCAAGCAGAGGAAGCACAAGAAGAGGAAGCGCAAGCAGAGGAAGCACAAGCAGAGGAAGAACAAGCAAAGGAAGCGCAAGCAGAGGAAGCACAAGCAGAGGAAGCGCAAGAAGAGGAAGCACAAGCAGAGGAAGCACAAGCAGAGGAAGCACAAGCAGAGGAGCGCAAGCAGAGGAAGCGCAAGCAGAGGAAGCACAAGCAGAGGAAGCGCAAGCAGAGGAAGCAAAGCAGAGGAAGCGCAAGCAGAGGAAGCACAAGCAGAGGAAGCACAAGCAGAGGAGCGCAAGCAGAGGAAGCACAAGCAAAGGAAGCGCAAGCAGAGGAAGCGCAAGCAGAGGAAGCGCAAGAAGAGGAAGCACAAGCAGAGGAAGCAACAGCAGAGGAAGCGCAAGCAGAGGAAGCGCAAGCAGAGGAAGCACAAGCAGAGGAAGCACAAGAAGAGGAAGCACAAGCAGGGAAGCACAAGCAGAGGAAGCACAAGCAGAGGAAGCACAAGCAGAGGAAGCACAAGCAGAGGAAGCGAAAGCAGAGGAAGCGCAAGCAGAGGAAGCACAAGCAGAGGAAGCGCAAGCAGAGGAAGCACAAGCAAGGAAGCGCAAGCAGAGGAAGCACAAGCAGAGGAAGCGCAAGCAGAGGAAGCACAAGCAGAGGAAGCCAAGCAGAGGAAGCCAAGCAGAGGAAGCGCAAGCAGAGGAAGCGCAAGCAGAGGAAGCGCAAGCAGAGGAAGCGCAAGCAGAGGAAGCGCAAGCAGAGGAAGCGCAAGCAGAGGAAGCACAAGCAGAGGAAGCGCAAGCAGAGGAAGCACAAGCAGAGGAAGCACAAGCAGAGGAAGCACAAGCAGAGGAAGCGCAAGCAGAGGAAGCGCAAGCAGAGGAAGCGCAAGAAGAGGAAGCACAAGCAGAGGAAGCGCAAGCAGAGGAAGCGCAAGCAGAGGAAGCGCAAGCAGAGGAAGCGCAAGCAGAGGAAGCGCAAGCAGAGGAAGCACAAGCAGAGGAAGCACAAGCAGAGGAAGCGCAAGCAGAGGAAGCGCAAGCAGAGGAAGCGCAAGCAGAGGAAGCGCAAGCAGAGGAAGCGCAAGCAGAGGAAGCACAAGCAGAGGAAGCACAAGCAGAGGAGCGCAAGCAAAGAAGCGTAAGCAAAGGAAGAGCAAGCAGAGGAAGCACAAGCAGAGGAAGCGTAAGCAGAGGAAGCGCAAGAAGAGGAAGCGCAAGCAGAGGAAGCGCAAGCAGAGGAAGCGCAAGCAGAGGAAGCACAAGCAGAGGAAGCGCAAGCAGAGGAAGCACAAGCAAGAAGCACAAGCAGAGGAAGCACAAGCAGAGGAGCGCAAGCAGAGGAAGCGCAAGCAGAGGAAGCACAAGCAGAGGAAGCGCAAGGAGAGGAAGCACAAGCAGAGGAAGCGCAAGCAGAGGAAGCACAAGCAGAGGAAGCACAAGCAGAGGAGCTCAAGCAGAGGAAGCGTAAGCAGAGGAAGCGCAAGCAGAGGAAGCACAAGCAGAGGAAGCGCAAGAAGAGGAAGCACAAGCAGAGGAAGCAACAGCAGAGGAAGCGCAAGCAGAGGAAGCACAAGCAGAGGAAGCGCAAGTAGAAGAAGCACAAGCAGAGGAAGCAGAAGCAAAGAAGCGCAAGCAGAGGAAGCACAAGCAGAGGAAGCACAAGCAGAGGAAGCGCAAGCAGAGGAAGCACAAGCAGAGGAAGCGCAAGCAGAGGAAGCACAAGCAGAGGAAGCGCAAGCAGAGGAAGCACAAGCAGAGGAAGCACAAGCAGAGGAGCGCAAGCAGAGGAAGCGCAAGCAGAGGAAGCGCAAGCAGAGGAAGCACAAGCAGAGGAAGCGCAAGAAGAGGAAGCACAAGCAGAGGAAGCACAAGCAGAGGAAGCACAAGCAGAGGAGCGCAAGCAGAGGAAACGCAAGCAGAGGAAGCACAAGAAGAGGAAGCGCAAGCAGAGGAAGCAAGCAGAGGAAGAACAAGCAAAGGAAGCGCAAGCAGAGGAAGCACAAGCAGAGGAAGCGCAAGAAGAGGAGCACAAGCAGAGGAAGCACAAGCAGAGGAAGCACAAGCAGAGGAGCGCAAGCAGAGGAAGCGCAAGCAGAGGAAGCACAAGCAGAGGAAGCGCAAGCAGAGGAAGCAAAGCAGAGGAAGCGCAAGCAGAGGAAGCACAAGCAGAGGAAGCACAAGCAGAGGAGCGCAAGCAGAGGAAGCACAAGCAGAGGAAGCGCAAGCAGAGGAAGCGCAAGCAGAGGAAGCGCAAGAAGAGGAAGCACAAGCAGAGGAAGCAACAGCAGAGGAAGCGCAAGCAGAGGAAGCACAAGCAGAGGAAGCACAAGCAGAGGAAGCGCAAGCAGAGGAAGCACAAGCAGAGGAAGCGCAAGCAGAGGAAGCACAAGCAGAGGAAGCGCAAGCAGAGGAAGCACAAGCAGAGGAAGCACAAGCAGAGGAGCGCAAGCAGAGGAAGCGCAAGCAGAGGAAGCGCAAGCAGAGGAAGCACAAGCAGAGGAAGCGCAAGCAGAGGAAGCGGAAGCAGAGGAGCACAAGCAGAGGAAGCGCAAGCAGAGGAAGCGCAAGTTGAGGAAGCACAAGCAGAGGAAGCACAAGCAGAGGAAGCACAAGCAGAGGAAGCGCAAGCAGAGGAAGCGCAAGCAGAGGAAGCGCAAGCAAGGAAGCACAAGCAGAGGAAGCGCAAGCAGAGGAAGCACAAGCAGAGGAAGCGCAAGAAGAGGAAGCACAAGCAGAGGAAGCACAAGCAGAGGAAGCACAAGCAGAGGAGCGCAAGCAGAGGAAGCGCAAGCAAAGGAAGCACAAGAAGAGGAAGCGCAAGCAGAGGAAGCACAAGCAGAGGAAGCGCAAGCAGAGGAAGCACAAGCAGAGGAAGCACAAGAAGAGGAGCGCAAGCAAAGGAAGTGCAAGCAGAGGAAACGCAAAAAGAGGAAGCACAAGCAGAGGAAGCGCAAGTAGAGGAAGCACAAGCAGAAGAAGCGCAAGCAGAGGAAGCGCAAGCAGAGGAAGCGCAAGAAGAGGAAGCACAAGCTAGGAAGCACAAGCAGAAGAAGCGCAAGCAGAGGAAGCACAAGAAGAGGAAGCCCACGAGGAAGCACAAGCAGAGGAAGCGCAAGCAGAGGAAGCACAAGCAGAGGAAGCGCAAGCAGAGGAAGCACAAGCAGAGGAGGCACAAGCAGAGGAAGCACAAGCAGAGGAGCGCAAGCAGAGGAAGCGCAAGCAGAGGAAGCGCAAGCAGAGGAAGCGCAAGCAAAGGAAGCGCAAGCAGAGGAAGCGCAAGTAGAGGAAGCACAAGCAGAGGAAGCGCAAGCAGAGGAAGCACAAGCAGAGGAAGCGCAAGCAGAGGAAGCGCAAGCAGAGGAAGCGCAAGCAGAGGAAGCGCAAGCAGAGGAAGCGCAAGCAGAGGAAGCACAAGTAGAGGAAGCGCAAGCAGAGGAAGCACAAGCAGAGGAAGCGCAAGCAGAGGAAGCACAAGCAGAGGAAGCACAAGCAGAGGAGCTCAAGCAGAGGAAGCGCAAGCAGAGGAAGCACAAGCAGAGGAAGCGCAAGCAGAGGAAGCACAAGCAGAGGAAGCACAAGCAGAGGAAGCGCAAGCAGAGGAAGCACAAGCAAGGAAGTACAAGCAGAGGAGCTCAAGCAGAGGAAGCGCAAGCAAAGGAAGAGCAAGCAGAGGAAGCACAAGCAGAGGAAGCGCAAGCAGAGGAAGCGCAAGCAGAGGAAGCACAAGCAGAGGAAGCGCAAGAAGAGGAAGCACAAGCAGAGGAAGCACAGCAGAGGAAGCGCAAGCAGAGGAAGCACAAGCAGAGGAAGCGCAAGCAGAGGAAGCACAAGCAGAGGAAGCACAAGCAGAGGAAGCACAAGCAGAGGAAGCACAAGCAGAGGAAGCGCAAGCAAAGGAAGCGCAAGCAGAGGAAGCGCAAGCAGAGGAAGCACAAGCAGAGGAAGCGCAAGCAGAGGAAGCAAAGCAGAGGAAGCGCAAGAAGAGGAAGCACAAGCAGAGGAAGCACAAGCAGAGGAAGCACAAGCAGAGGAAGCACAAGCAGAGGAGCACAAGCAGAGGAAGCGCAAGCAGAGGAAGCGCAAGCAGAGGAAGCGCAAGCAGAGGAAGCGCAAGCAGAGGAAGCGCAAGCAGAGGAAGCGCAAGCAGAGGAAGCGCAAGCAGAGGAGCACAAGCAGAGGAAGCGCAAGCAGAGGAAGCGCAAGCAGAGGAAGCACAAGCAAAGGAAGCACAAGCAGAGGAAGCGCAAGCAGAGGAAGCACAAGCAGAGGAAGCGCAAGCAGAGGAAGCACAAGAAGAGGAGCGCAAGCAGAGGAAGTGCAAGCAGAGGAAGCGCAAGCAGAGGAAGCACAAGCAGAGGAAGCGCAAGCAGAGGAAGCACAAGCAGAAGAAGCACAAGCAGAGGAAGCGCAAGCAGAGGAAGCACAAGCAAGGAAGCACAAGCAGAGGAAGCGCAAGCAGAGGAAGCGCAAGCAGAGGAAGCACAAGCAGAGGAAGCTCAAGCAGAGGAGCGCAAGCAGAGGAAGCGCAAGCAGAGGAAGCACAAGCAGAGGAAGCACAAGAAGAGGAAGCACAAGCAGAGGAAGCGCAAGCAGAGGAAGCACAAGCAGAGGAAGCACAAGCAGAGGAAGCACAAGCAGAGGAAGCACAAGCAGAGGAAGCACAAGCAGAGGAAGCACAAGCAGAGGAAGCACAAGCAAAGGAAGCGCAAGCAGAAGAAGCACAAGCAGAGGAAGCGCAAGCAGAGGAAGCACAAGCAGAGGAAGCACAAGCAGAGGAAGCGCAAGCAGAGGAAGCACAAGCAGAGGAAGCGCAAGCAGAGGAAGCGCAAGCAGAGGAAGCACAAGTAGAGGAAGCGCAAGCAGAGGAAGCACAAGCAGAGGAAGCGCAAGCAGAGGAAGCACAAGCAGAGGAAGCACAAGCAGAGGAGCGCAAGCAGAGGAAGCTCAAGCAGAGGAAGCGCAAGCAGAGGAAGCACAAGCAGAGGAAGCGCAAGCAGAAGAAGCGCAAGCAGAGGAAGCACAAGCAGAGGAAGCGCAAGCAGAGGAAGCACAAGCAGAGGAAGAGCAAGCAGAGGAAGCGCAAGCAGAGGAAGCACAAGCAGAGGAAGCGCAAGCAAAGGAAGCGCAAGCAGAGGAAGCACAAGCAGAGGAAGCACAAGCAGAGGAAGCGCAAGCAAAGGAAGCACAAGCAGAGGAAGCGCAAGCAGAGGAAGCACAAGTAGAGGAAGCGCAAGCAGAGGAAGCACAAGCAGAGGAAGCGCAAGCAAAGGAAGTGAAAGCAGAGGAAGCACAAGCAGAGGAAGCACAAGCAGAGGAAGCGCAAGCAGAGGAAGCACAAGCAGAGGAAGCGCAAGCAGAGGAAGCACAAGCAGAGGAAGCACAAGCAGAGGAGCGCAAGCAGAGGAAGCACAAGCAGAGGAAGCGCAAGCAGAGGAAGCGCAAGCAGAGGAAGCGCAAGAAGAGGAAGCACAAGCAGAGGAAGCAACAGCAGAGGAAGCGCAAGCAGAGGAAGCACAAGCAGAGGAAGCGCAAGCAGAGGAAGCACAAGCAGAGGAAGCACAAGCAAAGAAGCGCAAGCAGAGGAAGCACAAGCAGAGGAAGCACAAGCAGAGGAGCGCAAGCAGAGGAAGCACAAGCAGAGGAAGCACAAGCAGAGGAAGCACAAGCAGAGGAAGCACAAGCAGAGGAAGCGCAAGCAGAGGAAGCGCAAGCAGAGGAAGCACAACAGAGGAAGCGCAAGCAGAGGAAGCACAAGCAGAGGAAGCGCAAGCAGAGGAAGCACAAGCAGAGGAAGCACAAGCAGAGGAGCGCAAGCAGAGGAAGCACAAGCAGAGGAAGCGCAAGCAGAGGAAGCGCAAGCAGAGGAAGCGCAAGAAGAGGAAGCACAAGCAGAGGAAGCACAAGCAAAGAAGCGCAAGCAGAGGAAGCACAAGCAGAGGATGCGCAAGCAGAGGAAGCACAAGCAGAGGAAGCACAAGCAGAGGAGCACAAGCAGAGGAAGCGCAAGCAGAGGAAGCGCAAGAAGAGGAAGCACAAGCAGAGGAAGCGCAAGCAGAGGAAGCGGAAGCTGAGGAGTCACAAGCAGAGGAAGCGCAAGCAGAGGAAGCGCAAGTTGAGGAAGCACAAGCAGAGGAAGCACAAGCAGAGGAAGCACAAGCAGAGGAAGCGCAAGCAGAGGAAGCGCAAGCAGAGGAAGCGTAAGCAGAGGAAGCACAAGCAGAGGAAGCGCAAGCAGAGGAAGCACAAGCAGAGGAAGCGCAAGAAGAGGAAGCACAAGCAGAGGAAGCACAAGCAGAGGAAGCACAAGCAGAGGAGCGCAAGCAGAGGAAGCGCAAGCAAAGGAAGCACAAGAAGAGGAAGCGCAAGCGAAGGAAGCACAAGCAGAGGAAGCGCAAGCAGAGGAAGCATAAGCAGAGGAAGCGCAAGCAGAGGAGCGCAAGCAGAGGAAGTGCAAGCAGAGGAAATGCAAAAGGAGGAAGCACAAGCAGAGGAAGCGCAAGTAGATGAAGCACAAGCAGAAGAAGCGCAAGCAGAGGAAGCGCAAGCAGAGGAAGCGCAAGCAGAGGAAGCACAAGCTAAGGAAGCACAAGCAGAAGAAGCGCAAGCAGAGGAAGCACAAGAAGAGGAAGCCCACTTCGAGGAAGCACAAGCAGAGGAAGCACAAGCAGAGGAAGCGCAAGCAGAGGAAGCACAAGCAGAGGAAGCGCAAGCAGAGGAAGCACAAGCAGAGGAAGCACAAGCAGAGGAAGCACAAGCAGAGGAGCGCAAGCAGAGGAAGCGCAAGCAGAGGAAGCGCAAGCAGAGGAAGCGCAAGCAAAGGAAGCGCAAGCAGAGGAAGCGCAAGCAGAGGAAGCACAAGCAGAGGAAGCGCAAGCAGAGGAAGCACAAGCAGAGGAAGCGCAAGCAGAGGAAGCGCAAGCAGAGGAAGCGCAAGCAGAGGAAGCGCAAGCAGAGGAAGCGCAAGCAGAGGAAGCACAAGCAGAGGAAGCGCAAGCAGAGGAAGCACAAGCAGAGGAAGCGCAAGCAGAGGAAGCACAAGCAGAGGAAGCACAAGCAGAGGAGCGCAAGCAGAGGAAGCGCAAGCAGAGGAAGCGCAAGCAGAGGAAGCGCAAGCAGAGGAAGCACAAGCAGAGGAAGCACAAGCAGAGGAAGCACAAGCAGAGGAAGCACAAGCAGAGGAAGCGCAAGCAAGGAAGCGCAAGCAGAGGAGCGCAAGCAGAGGAAGCACAAGCAGAGGAAGCACAAGCAGAGGAAGCCAAAGCAGAGGAAGCGCAAGCAGAGGAGCGCAAGCAGAGGAAGCGCAAGAAGAGGAAGCACAAGCAGAGGAAGCACAAGCAGAGGAAGCACAAGCAGAGGAAGCACAAGCAGAGGAAGCACAAGCAGAGGAAGCACAAGCAGAGGAAGCACAAGCAGAGGAAGCACAAGCAGGGAAGCGCAAGCAGAGGAAGCGCAAGCAGAGGAAGCACAAGCAGAGGAAGCGCAAGCAGAAGAAGCACAAGCAGAGGAAGCGCAAGCAGAAGAAGCACAAGCAGAGGAAGCCAAGCAGAGGAGCCAAGCAGAGGAGCGCAAGCAGAGGAAGCGCAAGCAGAGGAAGCGCAAGCAGAGGAAGCGCAAGCAGAGGAAGCGCAAGCAGAGGAAGCGCAAGCAGAGGAAGCGCAAGCAGAGGAAGCGCAAGCAGAGGAAGCACAAGCAGAGGAAGCGCAAGCAGAGGAAGCACAAGCAGAGGAAGCATAAGCAGAGGAAGCACAAGCAGAGGAAGCGCAAGCAGAGGAAGTGCAAGCAGAGGAAGCGCAAGAAGAGGAAGCACAAGCAGAGGAAGCGCAAGCACAAGAAGCAGAAGCAGAGGAAGGGCAAGCAGAGGAAGCACAAGCAGAGGAGCGCAAGCAGAGGAAGCGCAAGCAGAGGAAGCGCAAGCAGAGGAAGCGCAAGCAGAGGAAGCGCAAGCAGAGGAAGCACAAGCAGAGGAAGCGCAAGCAAAGGAAGCACAAGCAGAGGAAGCACAAGCAGAGGAGCGCAAGCAGAGGAAGCGCAAGCAGAGGAAGCGCAAGCAGAGGAAGCGCAAGCAGAGGAAGCACAAGCAGAGGAGCGCAAGCAGAGGAAGCGCAAGCAGAGAACGCAAGCAGAGGAAGCGCAAGCAGAGGAAGCACAAGCAGAGGAAGCGCAAGCAGAGGAAGCACAAGCAGAGGAAGCACAAGCAGAGGAGCGCAAGCAGAGGAAGCGCAAGCAAAGGAAGCACAAGCAGAGGAAGCGTAAGGAGGAAGCACAAGCAAAGGAAGCGCAAGCAGAGGAAGCGCAAGAAGAGGAAGCACAAGCAGAGGAAGCGCAAGCAGAGGAAGCGCAAGCAGAGGAAGCACAAGCAGAGGAAGCGCAAGCAGAGGAAGCACAAGCAAGAAGCACAAGCAGAGGAAGCACAAGCAGAGGAGCGCAAGCAGAGGAAGCGCAAGCAGAGGAAGCACAAGCAGAGGAAGCGCAAGCAGAGGAAGCACAAGCAGAGGAAGCGCAAGCAGAGGAAGCACAAGCAGAGGAAGTACAAGCAGAGGAGCGCAAGCAGAGGAAGCGTAAGGAGAGGAAGCGCAAGCAGAGGAAGCACAAGCAGAGGAAGCGCAAGAAGAGGAAGCACAAGCAGAGGAAGCAACAGCAGAAGAAGCGCAAGCAGAGGAAGCACAAGCAGAGGAAGCGCAAGTAGAGGAAGCACAAGCAGAGGAAGCACAAGCAAAGAAGCGCAAGCAGAGGAAGCACAAGCAGAGGAAGCACAAGCAGAGGAAGCGCAAGCAGAGGAAGCACAAGCAGAGGAAGCGCAAGCAGAGGAAGCACAAGCAGAGGAAGCGCAAGCAGAGGAAGCACAAGCAGAGGAAGCACAAGCAGAGGAGCGCAAGCAGAGGAAGCGCAAGCAGAGGAAGCGCAAGCAGAGGAAGCACAAGAAGAGGAAGCGCAAGCAGAGGAAGCGCAAGCAGAGGAGCACAAGCAGAGGAAGCGCAAGCAGAGGAAGCGCAAGCAGAGGAAGCACAAGCAGAGGAAGCACAAGCAGAGGAAGCACAAGCAGAGGAAGCGCAAGCAGAGGAAGCACAAGCAGAGGAAGCGCAAGAAGAGGAAGCACAAGCAGAGGAAGCGCAAGCAGAGGAAGCACAAGCAGAGGAAGCGCAAGCAGAGGAAGCACAAGCAGAGGAAGCGCAAGCAGAGGAAGCACAAGCAGAGGAAGCACAAGCAGAGGAGCACAAGCAGAGGAAGCGCAAGCAGAGGAAGCGCAAGCAGAGGAAGCACAAGCAGAGGAAGCGCAAGCAGAGGAAGCACAAGCAGAGGAAGCAAAGCAGAAGAAGCGCAAGCAGAGGAAGCACAAGCAGAGGAAGCACAAGCAGAGGAAGCGCAAGCAGAGGAAGCACAAGCAGAGGAAGCGCAAGCAGAGGAAGCACAAGCAAAGGAAGCGCAAGCAGAGGAAGCACAAGCAGAGGAAGCACAAGCAGAGGAGCGCAAGCAGAGGAAGCGCAAGCAGAGGAAGCGCAAGCAGAGGAAGCCCAAGCAGAAGAAGCGCAAGCAGAGGAAGCGCAAGCAGAGGAGCACAAGCAGAGGAAGCGCAAGCAGAGGAAGCACAAGCAGAGGAAGCGCAAGCAGAGGAAGCACAAGCAGAGGAAGCGCAAGAAGAGGGAAGCACAAGCAGAGGAAGCACAAGCAAGAGGAAGCACAAGCAGAGGAGCACAAGAAGAGGAAGCACAAGCAGAGGAAGCACAAGCAGAGGAAGCGCAAGCAGAGGAAGCACAAGCAGAGGAAGCACAAGCAGAGGAAGCACAAGCAGAGGAGCGCAAGCAGAGGAAGCGCAAGCAGAGGAAGCGCAAGCAGAGGAAGCGCAAGCAAAGGAAGCGCAAGCAGAGGAAGCGCAAGCAGAGGAAGCACAAGCAGAGGAAGCGCAAGCAGAGGAAGCACAAGCATAGGAAGCGCAAGCAGAGGAAGCGCAAGCAGAGGAAGCGCAAGCAAAGGAAAGCAAGCAGAGGAAGCGCAAGCAGAGGAAGCACAAGCAGAGGAAGCGCAAGCAGAGGAAGCACAAGCAGAGGAAGCGCAAGCAGAGGAAGCACAAGCAGAGGAAGCACAAGCAGAGGAGCGGAAGCAGAGGAAGCGCAAGCAGAGGAAGCGCAAGCAGAGGAAACGCAAGAAGAGGAAGCACAAGCAGAGGAAGCACAAGCAGAGGAAGCACAAGCAGAGGAAGCACAAGCAGAGGAAGCGCAAGCAGAGGAAGCGCAAGCAGAGGAGCGCAAGCAGAGGAAGCACAAGCAGAGGAAGCACAAGCAGAGGAAGCCAAAGCAAAGGAAGCGCAAGCAGAGGAGCGCAAGCAGAGGAAGCGCAAGCAGAGGAAGCACAAGCAGAGGAAGCACAAGCAGAGGAAGCACAAGCAGAGGAAGCACAAGCAGAGGAAGCACAAGCAGAGGAAGCACAAGCAGAGGAAGCACAAGCAGAGGAAGCACAAGCAGAGGAAGCGAAAGCAGAGGAAGCGCAAGCAGAGGAAGCACAAGCAGAGGAAGTGCAAGCAGAGGAAGCACAAGCAGAGGAAGCCCAAGCAGAGGAGCCCAAGCAGAGGAAGCGCAAGCAGAGGAAGCGCAAGCAGAGGAAGCGCAAGCAGAGGAAGCGCAAGCAGAGGAAGCGCAAGCAGAGGAAGCGCAAGCAGAGGAAGCGCAAGCAGAGGAAGCGCAAGCAGAGGAAGCACAAGCAGAGGAAGCGCAAGCAGAGGAAGCACAAGCAGAGGAAGCATAAGCAGAGGAAGCAGAAGCAGAGGAAGCGCAAGCAGAGGAAGTGCAAGCAGAGGAAGCGCAAGAAGAGGAAGCACAAGCAGAGGAAGCGCAAGCACAAGAAGCACAAGCAGAGGAAGCGCAAGCAGAGGAAGCACAAGCAGAGGAGCGCAAGCAAAGGAAGCGCAAGCAGAGGAAGCGCAAGCAGAGGAAGCGCAAGCAGAGGAAGCGCAAGCAGAGGAAGCACAAGCAGAGGAAGCGCAAGCAGAGGAAGCACAAGCAGAGGAAGCACAAGCAGAGGAGCGCAAGCAGAGGAAGCGCAAGCAGAGGAAGCGCAAGCAGAGGAAGCGCAAGCAGAGGAAGCACAAGCAGAGGAGCGCAAGCAGAGGAAGCGCAAGCAGAGAACGCAAGCAGAGGAAGCGCAAGCAGAGGAAGCACAAGCAGAGGAAGCGCAAGCAGAGGAAGCACAAGCAGAGGAAGCACAAGCAGAGGAGCGCAAGCAGAGGAAGCGTAAGCAAAGGAAGCACAAGCAAAGGAAGCGTAAGCAGAGGAAGCACAAGCAGAGGAAGCGTAAGCAGAGGAAGCGCAAGAAGAGGAAGCGCAAGCAGAGGAAGCGCAAGCAGAGGAAGCGCAAGCAGAGGAAGCACAAGCAGAGGAAGCGCAAGCAGAGGAAGCACAAGCAAGAAGCACAAGCAGAGAAAGCACAAGCAGAGGAGCCCAAGCAGAGGAAGCGCAAGCAGAGGAAGCACAAGCAGAGGAAGCGCAAGCAGAGGAAGCACAAGCAGAGGAAGCGCAAGCAGAGGAAGCACAAGCAGAGGAAGTACAAGCAGAGGAGCTCAAGCAGAGGAAGCGTAAGGAGAGCAAGCGCAAGCAGAGGAAGCACAAGCAGAGGAAGCGCAAGAAGAGGAAGCACAAGCAGAGGAAGCAACAGCAGAAGAAGCGCAAGCAGAGGAAGCACAAGCAGAGGAAGCGCAAGCAGAGAAGCACAAGCAGAGGAAGCACAAGCAAAGAAGCGCAAGCAGAGGAAGCACAAGCAAAGGAAGCACAAGCAGAGGAAGCGCAAGCAGAGGAAGCACAAGCAGAGGAAGCGCAAGCAGAGGAAGCACAAGCAGAGGAAGCGCAAGCAGAGGAAGCACAAGCAGAGGAAGCACAAGTAGAGGAGCGCAAGCAGAGGAAGCGCAAGCAGAGGAAGCGCAAGCAGAGGAAGCACAAGCAGAGGAAGCGCAAGCAGAGGAAGCGCAAGCAGAGGAGCACAAGCAGAGGAAGCGCAAGCAGAGGAAGCGCAAGCAGAGGAAGAACAAGCAGAGGAAGCACAAGCAGAGGAAGCACAAGCAGAGGAAGCGCAAGCAGAGGAAGCACAAGCAGAGGAAGCGCAAGAAGAGGAAGCACAAGCAGAGGAAGCACAAGCAGAGGAAGCACAAGCAGAGGAAGCGCAAGCAGAGGAAGCACAAGCAGAGGAAGCGCAAGCAGAGGAAGCACAAGCAGAGGAAGCGCAAGCAGAGGAAGCACAAGCAGAGGAAGCACAAGCAGAGGAGCTCAAGCAGAGGAAGCGCAAGGAGAGGAAGCGCAAGCAGAGGAAGCACAAGCACAGGAAGCGTAAGCAGAGGAAGCACAAGCAGAGGAAGCAAAGCAGGAAGAAGGCAAGCAGAGGAAGCACAAGCAGAGGAAGCACAAGCAGAGGAAGCGCAAGCAAAGGAAGCGCAAGCAGAGGAAGCACAAGCAGAGGAAGCACAAGCAGAGGAGCGCAAGCAGAGGAAGCGCAAGCAGAGGAAGCGCAAGCAGAGGAAGCCCAAGTAGAAGAAGCGCAAGCAGAGGAAGCGCAAGCAGAGGAGCACAAGCAGAGGAAGCGCAAGCAGAGGAAGCGCAAGCAGAGGAAGCACAAGCAGAGGAAGCACAAGCAGAGGAAGCACAAGCAGAGGAAGCGCAAGCAGAGGAAGCACAAGCAGAGGAAGCGCAAGAAGAGGAAGCACAAGCAGAGGAAGCACAAGCAAGGAAGCACAAGCAGAGGAGCACAAGAAGAGGAAGCACAAGCAGAGGAAGCACAAGAAGAGGAAGCGCAAGCAGAGGAAGCACAAGCAGAGGAAGAACAAGCAGAGGAAGCGCAAGCAGAGGAAGCACAAGCAGAGGAAGCGCAAGCAGAGGAAGCACAAGCAGAGGAAGCACAAGCAGAGGAAGCACAAGCAGAGGAGCGCAAGCAGAGGAAGCGCAAGCAGAGGAAGCACAAGCAGAGGAAGCGCAAGCAGAGGAAGCACAAGCAGAGGAAGCGCAAGCAGAGGAAGCACAAGCAGAGGAAGCACAAGCAGAGGAGCGCAAGCAGAGGAAGCACAAGCAGAGGAAGCACAAGCAGAGGAAGCAAAGCAGAGGAAGCGCAAGCAGAGGAAGCTCAAGCAGAGGAAGCGCAAGTAGAGGAAGCACAAGCAGAGGAAGCACAAGCAAAGAAGCGCAAGCAGAGGAAGCACAAGCAGAGGAAGCACAAGCAGAGGAAGCGCAAGCAGAGGAAGCACAAGCAGAGGAAGCGCAAGCAGAGGAAGCACAAGCAGAGGAAGCGCAAGCAGAGGAAGCACAAGCAGAGGAAGCACAAGCAGAGGAGCGCAAGCAGAGGAAGCGCAAGCAGAGGAAGCGCAAGAAGAGGAAGCACAAGCAGAGGAAGCGCAAGCAGAGGAAGCGGAAGCTAAGGAGCACAAGCAGAGGAAGCGCAAGCAGAGGAAGCGCAAGCAGAGGAAGCACAAGCAGAGGAAGCACAAGCAGAGGAAGCACAAGCAGAGGAAGCGCAAGCAGAGGAAGCGCAAGCAGAGGAAGCGTAAGCAGAGGAAGCACAAGCAGAGGAAGCGCAAGCAGAGGAAGCACAAGCAGAGGAAGCGCAAGAAGAGGAAGCACAAGCAGAGGAAGCACAAGCAGAGGAAGCACAAGCAGAGGAGCGCAAGCAGAGGAAGCGCAAGCAAGGAAGCACAAGAAGAGGAAGCGCAAGCAGAGGAAGCACAAGCAGAGGAAGCGCAAGCAGAGGAAGCACAACAGAGGAAGCACAAGCAGAGGAGCGCAAGCAGAGGAAGTGCAAGCAGAGGAAACGCAAAAAGAGGAAGCGCAAGCAGAGGAAGCGCAAGCAGATGAAGCACAAGCAGAAGAAGTGCAAGCAGCGGAAGCGCAAGCAGAGGAAGCGCAAGCAGAGGAAGCACAAGCAGAGGAAGCACAAGAAGAAGAAGCGCAAGCAGAGGAAGCACAAGAAGAGGAAGCCAAGCAAGGAAGCACAAGCAGAGGAAGCACAAGCAGAGGAAGCGCAAGCAGAGGAGCGCAAGCAGAGGAAGCGCAAGCAGAGGAAGCGCAAGCAGAGGAAGCGCAAGCAAGGAAGCGCAAGCAGAGGAAGCGCAAGTAGAGGAAGCACAAGCAGAGGAAGCGCAAGCAGAGGAAGCACAAGCATAGGAAGCGCAAGCAGAGGAAGCGCAAGTAGAGGAAGCGCAAGCAAAGAAAGCGCAAGCAGAGGAAGCGCAAGCAGAGGAAGCACAAGCAGAGGAAGCGCAAGCAGAGGAAGCACAAGCAGAGGAAGCACAAGCAGAGGAAGCGCAAGCAGAGGAAGCGCAAGCAGAGGAAGCACAAGCAGAGGAAGCGCAAGCAGAGGAAGCGCAAGCAGAGGAAGCGCAAGCAGAGGAAGCGCAAGCAGAGGAAGCACAAGTAGGAAGCGCAAGCAGAGGAAGCGCAAGCAGAGGAAGCGCAAGCAGAGGAAGCACAAGCAGAGGAAGCGCAAGCAGAGGAAGCACAAGCAGAGGAAGCATAAGCAGAGGAAGCACAAGCAGAGGAAGCGCAAGCAGAGGAAGTGCAAGCAGAGGAAGCGCAGAAGAAGAGGAAGCACAAGCAGAGGAAGCGCAAGCAGAGGAAGTTCAAGCAAAGGAAGCGCAAGCAGAGGAAGCACAAGCAGAGGAGCGCAAGCAAAGGAAGCGCAAGCAGAGGAAGCGCAAGCAGAGGAAGCGCAAGCAGAGGAAGCGCAAGCAGAGGAAGCACAAGCAGAGGAAGCGCAAGCAGAGGAAGCACAAGCAGAGGAAGCACAAGCAGAGGAGCGCAAGCAGAGGAAGCTCAAGCAGAGGAAGCGCAAGCAGAGGAAGCGCAAGCAGAGGAAGCACAAGCAGAGGAGCGCAAGCAGAGGAAGCGCAAGCAGAGAAGCACAAGCAGAGGAGCGCAAGCAGAGGAAGCACAAGCAGAGGAAGCGCAAGCAGAGGAAGCACAAGCAGAGGAAGCACAAGCAGAGGAGCGCAAGCAGAGGAAGCGTAAGCAAAGGAAGCGCAAGCAGAGGAAGCACAAGCAGAGGAAGCGCAAGCAGAGGAAGCGCAAGCAGAGGAAGCGCAAGCAGAGGAAGCACAAGCAGAGGAAGCGCAAGCAGAGGAAGCACAAGCAAGAAGCACAAGCAGAGGAAGCACAAGCAGAGGAGCGCAAGCAGAGGAAGCGCAAGAAGAGGAAGCACAAGCAAAGGAAGCGCAAGCAGAGGAAGCACAAGAGAGGAAGCACAAGCAGAGGAAGCACAAGCAGAGAAGCACAAGCAGAGGAGCTCAAGCAGAGGAAGCGCAAGCAAAGGAAGAGCAAGCAGAGGAAGCACAAGCAGAGGAAGCGTAAGCAGAGGAAGCGCAAGCAGAGGAAGCACAAGCACAGGAAGCGCAAGAAGAGGAAGCAAAAGCAGAGGAAGCACAGCAGAGGAAGCGCAAGCAGAGGAAGCACAAGCAGAGGAAGCGCAAGCAGAGGAAGCACAAGCAGAGGAAGCACAAGCAAAGAAGCGCAAGCAGAGGAAGCACAAGCAGAGGAAGCACAAGCAGAGGAAGCGCAAGCAGAGGAAGCACAAGCAGAGGAAGCGCAAGCAGAGGAAGCACAAGCAGAGGAAGCGCAAGCAGAGGAAGCACAAGCAGAGGAAGCACAAGCAGAGGAGCGCAAGCAGAGGAAGCGCAAGCAGAGGAAGCGCAAGCAGAGGAAGCACAAGCAGAGGAAGCGCAAGCAGAGGAAGCGCAAGCAGAGGAGCACAAGCAGAGGAAGCGCAAGCAGAGGAAGCGCAAGCAGAGGAAGCACAAGCAGAGGAAGCACAAGCAGAGGAAGCACAAGCAGAGGAAGCGCAAGCAGAGGAAGCGCAAGCAGAGGAAGCGCAAGCAGAGGAAGCACAAGCAGAGGAAGCACAAGCAGAGGAAGCGCAAGCAGAGGAAGCGCAAGCAGAGGAAGCGCAAGCAGAGGAAGCACAAGCAGAGGAAGCGCAAGCAGAGGAAGCACAAGCAGAGGAAGCACAAGCAAGAAGAGCAAGCAGAGGAAGCACAAGCAGAGGAAGCACAAGCAGAGGAAGCGCAAGCAGAGGAAGCACAAGCAGAGGAAGCGCAAGCAGAGGAAGCGCAAGCAGAGGAAGCACAAGCAGAGGAAGCGCAAGCAGAGGAAGCACAAGCAGAGGAAGCACAAGCAGAGGAAGCGCAAGCAGAGGAAGCACAAGCAGAGGAAGCGCAAGCAGAGGAAGCACAAGCAGAGGAAGCACAAGCAAAGAAGCGCAAGCAGAGGAAGCACAAGCAGAGGAAGCACAAGCAGAGGAAGCGCAAGCAGAGGAAGCACAAGCAGAGGAAGCGAAGCAGAGGAAGCACAAGCAGAGGAAGCGCAAGCAGAGGAAGCACAAGCAGAGGAAGCACAAGCAGAGGAAGCGCAAGCAGAGGAAGCGCAAGCAGAGGAGCGCAAGCAGAGGAAGCGCAAGCAGAGGAAGCACAAGCAGAGGAAGCACAAGCAGAGGAAGCACAAGCAGAGGAAGCACAAGCAGAGGAAGCGCAAGCAGAGGAAGCGCAAGCAGAGGAAGCGCAAGCAGAGGAAGCACAAGCAGAGGAAGCACAAGCAGAGGAAGCACAAGCAGAGGAAGCACAAGCAGAGGAAGCCAAAGCAGAGGAAGCGCAAGCAGAGGAGCGCAAGCAGAGGAAGCGCAAGCAGAGGAAGCACAAGCAGAGGAAGCACAAGCAGAGGAAGCACAAGCAGAGGAAGCACAAGCAGAGGAAGCACAAGCAGAGGAAGCACAAGCAGAGGAAGCACAAGCAGAGGAAGCACAAGCAGAGGAAGCGACAAGCAGAGGAAGCGCAAGCAGAGGAAGCACAAGCAGAGGAAGCGCAAGCAGAGGAAGCACAAGCAGAGGAAGCGCAAGCAGAGGAAGCACAAGCAGAGGAAGCGCAAGCAGAGGAAGCACAAGCAGAGGAAGCGCAAGCAGAGGAAAAAAAGCACAAGCAGAGGAAGCGCAAGCAGAGGAAGCGCAAGCAGAGGAAGCGCAAGCAGAGGAAGCGCAAGCAGAGGAAGCGCAAGCAGAGGAAGCGCAAGCAGAGGAAGCGCAAGCAGAGGAAGCGCAAGCAGAGGAAGCGCAAGCAGAGGAAGCACAAGCAGAGGAAGCGCAAGCAGAGGAAGCACAAGCAGAGGAAGCACAAGCAGAGGAAGCACAAGCAGAGGAAGCGCAAGCAGAGGAAGCGCAAGCAGAGGAAGCGCAAGCAGAGGAAGCACAAGCAGAGGAAGCGCAAGCAGAGGAAGCGCAAGCAGAGGAAGCGCAAGCAGAGGAAGCACAAGCAGAGGAGCGCAAGCAGAGGAAGCGCAAGCAGAGGAAGCGCAAGCAGAGGAAGCGCAAGCAGAGGAAGCGCAAGCAGAGGAAGCACAAGCAGAGGAAGCGCAAGCAGAGGAAGCACAAGCAGAGGAAGCACAAGCAGAGGAGCGCAAGCAGAGGAAGCGCAAGCAGAGGAAGCGCAAGCAGAGGAAGCGCAAGCAGAGGAAGCACAAGCAGAGGAGCGCAAGCAGAGGAAGCGCAAGCAGAGGAAGCGCAAGCAGAGGAAGCGCAAGCAGAGGAAGCACAAGCAGAGGAAGCACAAGCAGAGGAAGCGCAAGCAGAGGAAGCACAAGCAGAGGAAGCGCAAGCAGAAGAAGCACAAGCAGAGGAAGCACAAGCAGAGGAGCGCAAGCAGAGGAAGCGCAAGCAGAGGAAGCGCAAGCAGAGGAAGCGCAAGCAGAGGAAGCACAAGCAGAGGAAGCACAAGCAGAGAAAGCACAAGCAGAGGAAGCGCAAGCAGAGGAAGCACAAGCAAGGAAGCACAAGCAGAGGAAGCACAAGAAGAGGAAGCGCAAGCAGAGGAAGCACAAGCAGAGGAAGCACAAGCAGAGGAGCAAAGCAGAGGAAGCGCAAGCAGAGGAAGCGCAAGCAGAGGAAGCACAAGCAGAGGAAGCACAAGCAGAGGAGCGCAAGCAGAGGAAGCGCAAGCAGAGGAAGCACAAGCAGAGGAAGCGCAAGCAGAGGAAGCACAAGCAAAGGAAGCGCAAGCAGAGGAAGCACAAGCAGAGGAAGCACAAGCAGAGGAGCGCAAGCAGAGGAAGCCAAGCAGAGGAAGCGCAAGCAGAGGAAGCGCAAGCAGAGGAAGCGCAAGCAGAGGAAGCGCAAGCAGAGGAAGCGCAAGCAGAGGAAGCACAAGCAGAGGAAGCACAAGCAGAGGAGCACAAGCAGAGGAAGCGCAAGCAGAGGAAGCAAAGCAGAGGAAGCAAGCAAGAGGAAGCACAAGCAGAGGAAGCACAAGCAGAGGAAGCGCAAGCAGAGGAAGCACAAGCAGAGGAAGCACAAGCAGAGGAGCGCAAGCAGAGGAAGCGCAAGCAGAGGAAGCGCAAGCAGAGGAAGCGCAAGCAGAGGAAGCGCAAGCAGAGGAAGCACAAGCAGAGGAAGCACAAGCAGAGGAAGCACAACAGAGGAAGCGCAAGCAGAGGAAGCACAAGCAGAGGAAGCAAAAGCAGAGGAGCGCAAGCAGAGGAAGCGCAAGCAGAGGAAGCGCAAGCAGAGGAAGCACAAGCAGAGGAAGCACAAGCAGAGGAAGCGCAAGCAGAAGAAGCACAAGCAGGAAGCACAAGCAGAGGAGCGCAAGCAGAGGAAGAAGAAGCAGAGGAAGCGCAAGCAGAGGAAGCACAAGCAGAGGAAGCGCAAGCAAAGGAAGCACAAGCAGAGGAAGCACAAGCAGAGGAAGCACAAGCAGAGGAGCGCAAGCAGAGGAAGCGCAAGCAGAGGAAGCGCAAGCAGAGGAAGCGCAAGCAGAGGAAGCGCAAGCAGAGGAAGCACAAGCAGAGGAAGCACAAGCAGAGGAAGCACAAGCAGAGGAAGCGCAAGCAGAGGAAGCACAAGCAGAGGAAGCAAAGCAGAGGAGCGCAAGCAGAGGAAGCGCAAGCAGAGGAAGCGCAAGCAGAGGAAGCACAAGCAGAGGAAGCACAAGCAGAGGAAGCGCAAGCAGAGGAAGCACAAGCAGAGGAAGCACAAGCAGAGGAGCGCAAGCAGAGGAAGCACAAGCAGAGGAAGCGCAAGCAGAGGAAGCACAAGCAGAGGAAGCGCAAGCAGAGGAAGCACAAGCAGAGGAAGCACAAGCAGAGGAGCGCAAGCAGAGGAAGCGCAAGCAGAGGAAGCGCAAGCAGAGGAAGCGCAAGCAGAGGAAGCACAAGCAGAGGAAGCACAAGCAGAGGAAGCACAAGCAGAGGAAGCGCAAGCAGAGGAAGCACAAGCAGAGGAAGCGCAAGCAGAGGAAGCACAAGCAAAGGAAGCACAAGCAGAGGAAGCACAAGCAGAGGAAGAGCAAGCAGAGGAAGCACAAGCAGAGGAAGCACAAGCAGAGGAGCGCAAGCAGAGGAAGCGCAAGCAAGGAAGCGCAAGCAGAGGAAGCACAAGCAGAGGAAGCACAAGCAGAGGAAGCGCAAGCAGAGGAAGCGCAAGCAGAGGAAGCACAAGCAGAGGAAGCGCAAGCAGAGGAAGCACAAGCAGAGGAAGCGCAAGCAGAGGAAGCACAAGCAGAGGAAGCACAAGCAGAGGAGCGCAAGCAGAGGAAGCACAAGCAGAGGAAGCGCAAGCAGAGGAAGCGCAAGCAGAGGAAGCGCAAGCAGAGGAAGCGCAAGCAGAGGAAGCGCAAGCAGAGGAAGCACAAGCAGAGGAAGCACAAGCAGAGGAGCGCAAGCAGAGGAAGCGCAAGCAGAGGAAGCAAGCAGAGGAAGCGCAAGCAAGGAAGCACAAGCAGAGGAAGCACAAGCAGAGGAAGCGCAAGCAGAGGAGCACAAGCAAGGAAGCACAAGCAGAGGAAGCGCAAGCAGAGGAAGCACAAGCAGAGGAAGCACAAGCAGAGGAAGCGCAAGCAGAGGAAGCACAAGCAAAGGAAGCGCAAGCAGAGGAAGCACAAGCAGAGGAAGCGCAAGCAGAGGAAGCACAAGCAGAGGAAGCACAAGCAGAGGAGCGCAAGCAGAGGAAGCGCAAGCAGAGGAAGCACAAGCAGAGGAAGCACAAGCAGAGGAGCGCAAGCAGAGGAAGCGCAAGCAAAGGAAGCACAAGCAGAGGAAGCGCAAGCAGAGGAAGCACAAGCAAAGGAAGCGCAAGCAGAGGAAGCACAAGCAGAGGAAGCACAAGCAGAGGAGCGCAAGCAGAGGAAGTGTAAGCAGAGAAGCGCAAGCAGAGGAAGCGCAAGCAGAGGAAGCGCAAGCAGAGGAAGCGCAAGCAGAGGAAGTGCAAGCAGAGGAAGCGCAAGCAGAGGAAGCACAAGCAGAGGAGCGCAAGCAGAGGAAGCGCAAGCAGAGGAAGCAAAAGCAGAGGAAGCGCAAGCAAGGAAGCACAAGCAGAGGAAGCACAAGCAGAGGAAGCACAAGCAGAGGAAGCGCAAGCAGAGGAAGCACAAGCAGAGGAAGCACAAGCAGAGGAGCGCAAGCAGAGGAAGCGCAAGCAGGGAAGCGCAAGCAGAGGAAGCGCAAGCAGAGGAAGCACAAGCAGAGGAAGCACAAGCAGAGAAAGCACAAGCAGAGGAAGCGCAAGCAGAGGAAGCACAAGCAGAGGAAGCGCAAGCAGAGGAAGCACAAGCAAGGAAGCACAAGAAGAGGAAGCACAAGCAGAGGAAGAGCAAGCAGAGGAAGCACAAGCAGAGGAAGCACAAGCAGAGGAGCGCAAGCAGAGGAAGCGCAAGCAGAGGAAGCGCAAGCAGAGGAAGCACAAGCAGAGGAAGCACAAGCAGAGGAGCGCAAGCAGAGGAAGCGCAAGCAGAGGAAGCACAAGCAGAGGAAGCGCAAGCAGAGGAAGCACAAGCAAAGGAAGCGCAAGCAGAGGAAGCACAAGCAGAGGAAGCACAAGCAGAGGAGCGCAAGCAGAGGAAGCGCAAGCAGAGGAAGCGCAAGCAGAGGAAGCGCAAGCAGAGGAAGCGTAAGCAGAGGAAGCGCAAGCAGAGGAAGCGCAAGCAGAGGAAGCACAAGCAGAGGAAGCACAAGCAGAGGAGCGCAAGCAGAGGAAGCGCAAGCAGAGGAAGCAAAAGCAGAGGAAGCTCAAGCAAAGGAAGCACAAGCAGAGGAAGCGCAAGCAGAGGAAGCACAAGCAGAGAGCGCAAGCAGAGGAAGTGCAAGCACAGAAGCGCAAGCAGAGGAAGCGCAAGCAGAGGAAGCACAAGCAGAGGAAGCACAAGCAGAGGAAGCACAAGCAGAGGAAGCGCAAGCAGAGGAAGCACAAGCAGAGGAGCGCAAGCAGAGGAAGTGCAAGCAGAGGAAGCGCAAGCAGAGGAAGCGCAAGCAGAGGAAGCACAAGCAGAGGAAGCACAAGCAGAGGAAGCACAAGCAGAGGAAGCACAAGAAGAGGAAGCACAAGAAGAGGAAGCGCAAGCAGAGGAAGCACAAGCAGAGGAAGCACAAGCAGAGGAAGTGCAAGCAGAGGAAGCGCAAGCAGAGGAAGCGCAAGGAGAGGAAGCACAAGCAGAGGAAGCACAAGCAGAGGAGCGCAAGCAGAGGAAGCGCAAGCAGAGGAAGCACAAGCAGAGGAAGCGCAAGCAGAGGAAGCACAAGCAAGGAAGCCCAAGCAGAGGAAGCACAAGCAGAGGAAGCACAAGCAGAGGAGCGCAAGCAGAGGAAGTGCAAGCAGAGGAAGCGCAAGCAGAGGAAGCGCAAGCAGAGGAAGCGCAAGCAGAGGAAGCGCAAGCAGAGGAAGCGCAAGCAGAGGAAGCACAAGCAGAGGAAGCACAAGCAGAGGAGCGCAAGCAGAGGAAGCGCAAGCAGAGGAAGCAAAAGCAGAGGAAGCGCAAGCAGAGGAAGCACAAGCAGAGGAAGCACAAGCAGAGGAAGCGCAAGCAGAGGAAGCACAAGCAAAGGAAGCACAAGCAAAGGAAGCACAAGCAGAGGAAGCGCAAGCAGAGGAAGCACAAGCAAAGGAAGCGCAAGAGAGGAAGCACAAGCAGAAAGCGCAAGCAGAGGAAGCACAAGCAGAGGAAGCACAAGCAGAGGAGCGCAAGCAGAGGAAGCGCAAGCAGAGGAAGCGCAAGCAGAGGAAGCACAAGCAGAGGAAGCACAAGCAGAGGAGCGCAAGCAGAGGAAGCACAAGCAAAGAAGCACAAGCAGAGGAAGCGCAAGCAGAGGAATGACAAGCAAGGGAAGCGCAAGCAGAGGAAGCACAAGCAGAGGAAGCACAAGCAGAGGAGCGCAAGCAGAGGAAGCGCAAGCAGAGGAAGCGCAAGCAGAGGAAGCGCAAGCAGAGGAAGCGCAAAGCAGAGGAAGCGCAAGCAGAGGAAGCGCAAGCAGAGGAAGCACAAGCAGAGGAAGCAAAAGCAAGAGGAAGCGCAAGCAGAGGAAGCACAAGCAGAGGAAGCACAAGCAGAGGAAGCACAAGCAGAGGAAGCACAAGCAGAGGAAGCACAAGCAGAGGAAGCACAAGCAGAGGAAGCGCAAGCAGAGGAAGCACAAGCAAAGGAAGCGCAAGCAGAGGAAGCACAAGCAGAGGAAGCGCAAGCAGAGGAAGCACAAGCAGAGGAAGCACAAGCAGAGGAGCGCAAGCACAGCAAAGGAAGCGCAAGCAGAGGAAGCGCAAGCAGAGGAAGCGCAAGCAGAGGAAGCACAAGCAGAGGAAGCACAAGCAGAGGAAGCACAAGCAGAGGAAGCGCAAGCAGAGGAAGCGCAAGCAGAGGAAGCACAAGCAGAGGAAGCGCAAGCAGAGGAAGCACAAGCAGAGAAGCGCAAGCAGAGGAAGCGCAAGCAAAGGAAGCGCAAGCAGAGGAAGCGCAAGCAGAGGAAGCGCAAGCAGAGGAAGCGCAAGCAGAGGAAGCACAAGCAGAGGAAGCGCAAGCAGAGGAAGCACAAGCAGGAAGCACAAGCAGAGGAAGCACAAGCAGAGGAAGCGCAAGCAGAGGAAGCGCACAAGCAGAGGAAGCACAAGCAGAGGAAGCGCAAGCAGAGGAAGCACAAGCAGGAAGCACAAGCAGAGGAAGCACAAGCAGAGGAAGCAAGCAGAGGAAGCACAAGCAGAGGAAGCACAAGCAGAGGAAGCGCAAGCAGAGGAAGCACAAGCAGAGGAAGCGCAAGCAGAGGAAGCACAAGCAGAGGAAGCGCAAGCAGAGGAAGCACAAGCAGAGGAAGCAAAGCAGAGGAGCGCAAGAAGGAAGCGCAAGCAGAGGAAGCGCAAGCAGAGGAAGCGCAAGCAGAGGAAGCACAAGCAGAGGAAGCACAAGCAGAGGAAGCACAAGCAGAGGAAGCGCAAGCAGAGGAAGCGCAAGCAGAGGAAGCACAAGCAGAGGAAGCGCAAGCAGAAGAAGCACAAGCAGAGGAAGCGCAAGCAGAGGAAGCGCAAGCAGAGGAAGCGCAAGCAGAGGAAGCGCAAGCAGAGGAAGCGCAAGCAGAGGAAGCACAAGCAGAGGAAGCGCAAGCAGAGGAAGCACAAGCAGAAGCACAAGCAGAGGAAGCACAAGCAGAGGAAGCGCAAGCAGAGGAAGCGCAAGCAGAGGAAGCGCAAGCAGAGGAAGCGCAAGCAGAGGAAGCGCAAGCAGAGGAAGCGCAAGCAGAGGAAGCACAAGCAGAGGAAGCGCAAGCAGAGGAAGCACAAGCAGGAAGCACAAGCAGAGGAAGCAAAGCAGAAGAAGCGCAAGCAGAGGAAGCGCAAGCAGAGGAAGCACAAGCAGAGGAAGCGCAAGCAGAGGAAGCACAAGCAGGAAGCACAAGCAGAGGAAGCGCAAGCAGGAAGCGCAAGCAGAGGAAGCACAAGCAGAGGAAGCGCAGAAGAAGGAGAAGCACAAGCAGAGGAAGCACAAGCAGAGGAAGCGCAAGCAGAGGAAGCACAAGCAGAGGAAGCGCAAGCAGAGGAAGCGCAAGCAGAGGAAGCGCAAGCAGAGGAAGCGCAAGCAGAGGAAGCGCAAGCAGAGGAAGCGCAAGCAGAGGAAGCACAAGCAGAGGAAGCGCAAGCAGAGAAGCGCAGCAGAGGAAGCGCAAGCAGAGGAAGCGCAAGCAGAGGAAGCACAGCAAAGAGGCGCAAGCAGAGGAAGCACAAGCAGAGGAAGCGCAAGCAGAGGAAGCGCAAGCAGAGGAAGCAGCAAGCAGAGGAAGCGCAAGCAGAGGAAGCACAAGCAGAGGAAGCGCAAGCAGAGGAAGCGCAAGCAGAGGAAGCACAAGCAGAGAAGCAGAAGCAGAGGAGCGCAAGCAGAGGAAGCACAAGCAGAGGAAGCGCAAGCAGAGGAAGCACAAGCAGAGGAAGCGCAAGCAGAGGAAGCACAAGCAGAGGAAGCACAAGCAGAGGAGCACAAGCAGAGGAAGCGCAAGCAGAGGAAGCGCAAGCAGAGGAAGCACAAGCAGAAGAAGCGCAAGCAGAGGAAGCACAAGCAGAGGAAGCGCAAGCAGAGGAAGCGCAAGCAGAGGAAGCACAAGCAGAGGAAAGCAAAGCAGAGGAGCAAGCAGAGGAAGCGCAAGCAGAGGAAGCACAAGCAGAGGAAGCGCAAGCAGAGGAAGCACAAGCAGAGGAAGCGCAAGCAGAGGAAGCACAAGCAGAGGAAGCACAAGCAGAGGAGCAAGCAGAGGAAGCACAAGCAAAGGAAGAGCAAAGCAGAGGAAGCACAAGCAGAGGAAGCGTAAGCAGAGGAAGCGCAAAGCAGAGGAAGCACAAGCAGAGGAAGCACAAGCAGAGGAAGCGCAAGCAGAGGAAGCGCAAGCAGAGGAAGCGCAAGCAGAGAAGCACAAGCAGAGAAGCACAGGAAGCGAGCAGAGGAAGCACAAGCAGAGGAGCGCAAGCAGAGGAAGCGCAAGCAGAGGAAGCGCAAGAAGAGGAAGCACAAGCAGAGGAAGCGCAAGCAGAGGAAGCACAAGCAGAGGAAGCACAAGCAGAGGAAGCGCAAGCAAAGGAAGCACAAGCAGAGGAAGCACAAGCAGAGGAAGCGCAAGCAGAGGAAGAACAAGAAGAGGAAGCGCAAGCAGAGGAAGCACAAGCAGAGGAAGCGCAAGCAGAGGAAGCACAAGCAGAGGAAGCACAAGCAGAGGAGCACAAGCAGAGGAAGCACAAGCAGAGGAAGCGCAAGCAGAGGAAGCGCAAGCAGAGGAAGCGCAAGTAGAGGAAGCGCAAGCAGAGGAAGCACAAGCAGAGGAAGCGCAAGCAGAGGAAGCACAAGCAGAGGAAGCGCAAGCAGAGGAAGCGCAAGCAGAGGAAGCGCA